GCGTTGCAAACGAGTCAATTGAATGCGCATCTTCATTTACCAATTTTACAAAATTTTCGGAAAAAATGCTTATTACTCGTTCCGTTCACATAAGTTTTTCATGATTTTTCATACTTTGTTTCCATTAGCCTCTCTCCGTTCGCTTACAAATTTTGGTGCCATATCGTTACGCATACATTGAGAACTCGTCATTTATGCGTCACAAACAGCATTGTTTGAGCGACGTCGCGCGTGCGGCAGTTAGCGACGGCGCGGTTCCACGCGCGCGAACTCCAGTGTTCGCCTGTTGAGGGACATAACATGTTAAGATAAGCAGCGAGCATGACCAATTTTTTCCGGGGCTCCGCCCCGGACCCCAAAAAACGACTTCCCCTTTGCTTTTTCGGGCCAAAAACGATATCCAGCTTGTGAAAGCGCCACGCCCGCCGGGCCCTGCGCGAAAACAGCATCGACCAGAAAAACACCATCGAGGACGTACAGACAGCATCCACCAGCGTACAGACAAGTACACCATTCGGTTTTGTATATGTAGAAGGATGAATGGATTTCTATGTAGGCATTTGAAAATTGAAGATGATATTGTACTTACGTCATATTCATTCTTGAGTAGTATATCTCTGACAATGAGATATGAGATTTTTTGCAGAAAATCGTTTAAGTATGTACATGTTCTTGCTATTCTAAGAGTTTCTGTATATATGGTTGCTTAGTTATAGTTATACACAGGATGCATGTGCAGTTTGCTAGTATTGAACCCGAAGAATTCTGGCGAATCGCCAAATCGCGTCGCGACCGAAATCGCGTGAAGTTGCCCGGCCCTTTAGAGAGCAAGAAGATTATGGCTTAATGAAGGAGAAAACGAAAACGGTAAAATATTAGAAGACAATCTAACCTACATCATTCATATTTTTACAGAAACCTTAGAAGATAGAATTTTGCATTACCGTACGGCCTAAGGCATACCTCTCGCGATTTCAGGAAATCGCTACCTCCGCGCGACTTGGCGATTTGCCAGATGTCTACAGATTAAATGTGTGCGGGTCTTAAACGCATCGACGCGTAGATTTCGTAAGCTGTAGCAAATGCAGCAAGTCTGGCCCCAGCAAAGCTCGCTTCACGACCAATTATATAGAGTCGTGGCATAGCCAGATCGCGCAAGGACTGGAATATGGGTATGCCTTAGCCTACGGGAATTTGGCTTTGAAGGAGCTCATATTGTTTGAATGATCATGTTGCTACGCAAAGTGGCCGCAAGAGAGAAGTGTATAAGCTCAGCTGATGATAGTTTTGTTGAACGCCGTAATATCACATGATGAGGGGAAGCATATCCGCTGCTCTGTTCCAGCTTGTTCTTATAAATGCTATAAATGATAATCATTTTTGCTATCGCAGTTATTACAAAAAGGATCGAAGACGTGCAGTTCACTTATCATTTTTCGGCTGTGGAGTATAGCATCATGTTATGTCTGCTCTTCCTTGCTGCTACATTTCAAATCATATCGAACGAGGAGGTAAGTTTGCATACTTTTCAACAAGATCACTGTTTGTGAACACATAGACTTGTAGAACAGTAAAGTATAGACGAGTCGCGCTCAGAGAAACTAGAGTTCAAGTGAAAAATCGCGTACTGTCGGAAAGTTGGAAGCACACCAACCACAAAGACGTCCGCAGTCCCTTCTCTGCTTGCGACCAGTTGTTTATATATGCTAATCAGTGCACGCCCATCCTTTTCACGAATGCTTTCCCTGAGGATGAATATAGCAAACTCAAATATTGTCGCATTCTAATCGATAGATGAGAGTTTTTCTATTTTAGTGTATTCGTCAGTCTTGCAGTTGCTATTTCTAACTGTATAAGTTCTCCACTTCCGTTTCGGATTATGTCCACATTGCACTTGAGAAGGAGCAGCGTTTGAGATCTCCTACTCAGCAGGAGCCATGATTTGCGACTGCTCCGTCAGAGGCTGTATCAACTTTTTGTTCGCGATTACACTGGATTTGTTCACGCATATCGGTTAGATAAATTTTTATACGCTTGGAACCCACCAAGATCGTGATGAATCACTGATCACCTTCAGCTGCCCATACCTATAACCCGATACAGCCCTTCCGCAGCTTATTTGCTTAGACATGTCCACCGCCCGGCAAGCGATCGGAGAGGCCTTTCGGCCGGTGGCCGCGTCATCTCGGGTGGAGTTCACTGCAGCCCGGCGACCGGGCCAATACTCACTCCTCTGGCTGACCCCGCAAGCACAGACAACTAGCCGGAACTTCCGCGCCATCAGAACTGTGATGCTCGACCTAGATTCGGGCTGCCGCGTAGCGCAACGCAAGTAAGCCTGCGTCGCTCCTCCTAATTACCACCCGGTGCGGCTGCAAGCGGCTGTCCGGGTATCAATAGACCGCCTCCCTTTCCACATTAAAGGAACAATGCCTTAGTAAAAAGCGAAAACCTATTATTGATAAGGAAAACCTAGTATCAAAAAGGAAGCTTTATATGGAAGAAAGGGAGTACGTGGTAAGTAGTAAGTAAGTGTAGTAAGTACATGTGTGTGTGTGTGTGTGTGTGTGTGTGTGTGTGTGTGTGTGTGTGTGTGTGTGTGTGTGTGTGTTACGAAATTCGTGGAGCGTGTTCCAGCAAACGTCCTGGCCCCAAATTGCACATCCATGCTACCAGCACAAAACTCCACCATGCAAAGGCATGAGCGGATTCGTTGAGTGGAACTCACAGAAATTGCGCGTCAAACAGGTCCACTTCGCTTCTAACCCACAAAATTGGGTCCCTTTCAGCACTTTTTGCGAAGTCGTTGAGGTGTTTGACAAGTAAATGTGCAAGCCTTGGACTCTAGCCCAAATAAAGGGCAAAAATTTACTACTTTGCCAAAATGAGCCAAAATGGAATGGTTGCGTAAATGGTCCATTTGAAAACGTTCTACAGGCGCATTTGAGAAGATTTTTGCGCAGAAGTGTTGCTCACGGTGGCTATTGGCCTTATGGCTACTGCCAAACCATAGAAAATCCAGGAACCCACATAAATTTGCATTTGTTCTTCTGCGAAAAGTTCCTTGCGAAATCACCGATCTCACAAGAAAAAGCTGTTAAAATGAATGGTTGTTTACATCCTATTCGTGGTAGTCGGCCACTGCGCGGTGAGTTTCAATGCCATCATTATGGGAAAGTAATGACCATATGGATAGTAAAGCCAGTGCGAGCCACTGCGAAGCAGAGGTGAGGCACTGGTATATCTATCATGACTTATAATAACGGGCTAAGGGTGTTTATGTGACTTTGTGTGTGTGTTTGTGTGTCTGTTACGAAATTCGTGGAGCGTGTTCCAGCCAACCTCCTGGGCTCAAATTTTGCACAGAGCATGCTACCCGCATAAAAGTCCAATACGCAAAAGCACGAGCAGATTCGTTGAGTTGATCCCTCAGAAATTGCGCGCCAAACGGGTCCACCTAGCTTCTGTACCGCAAAATTCGGTTCGTATCACCACTTTTTGCAGAGTCGTGGATGAGTTTGGTAAGCAAATGTGCAAGCGATGGAGTTTAGCCAGAAAAGTGGTCGAAAGTTTACTACATAATGAAAACGGCGCCAAAATGAATTGGTTGTGTAAATGGTCAACTTGCCAAGGTTCTAGCTAAGCGTTTGAGAAGATTTTCGCACAGAGATGTAGCTCACTATTACTATTGCCTTTATGGCGACTACCAAGCCATGACAAATTCAAAAACCTATTCACATTTGCGTTTGTCTTCCTGCGAAAAGTTTCATCCACTCGAAATCACCGATCTCACGTGAAAAGACTTTCTAAATGAGTGGTTGTTTACATTTTATTCGTGGTAGTCGGCATAGCGCGGTGAGTTCCAGTGCCACGATTTTACGAGAATGAGTAAGGCACATAGATAGTAGAGCCAGTGCGAACCTCTGCGAAGCAGAGGTGACGCACTGGTATATATAAAACTCAATGTCTGTAAGGATGTTCGTTTAGTTGTTCGTTCGTTATAGAAACGCGCGCCATTGAACCGATCCGGCTGAAACTTCGCACACGTATGTTTTCGACCCCGGCGGATGTTTAGAGCTACTTTCCGCGGCGATTCGCCGGGCCATTCTATCGATTTATTGATTTCTAACTGTTTGCAATGAAAATGATTCCTTTATCAACCAAACAAGTCATTTACATCCAAATAAATACAGTAGGCCTCATTTTTGTTCTTCGCTAAGGAGCTCGGTTAGAAGAAGCTTTGAGGTAAGCTTTGAGTTCGGTGTATACAACGTATGCGTAAATGCAAACTTTTCAATTTAAATGCTACTGTGTTCCTTTCGTACCCTCTCATTGTCGCAGACGCACCTATTCTGATACGATAGCGGCGATGAGCATTGTCACAATCGTAGCTGAACGGGCAACTTTTCCGACAAGTGTAGGAGGGAGAAAAGAAAGCTTTTGCTTTCTGCAGGGAATAGATATGTCAAAAATGGATTGATCACTGAGAGAGATGATCGTTACAGTCTGCCTCAATCGGGACCAGGCCAAACCGTTTGCTGAATTTGCGCGCACGCAGCGCGAGTAACTTGAGCTGTATATGCGCAAGTCGGAGAGAGCAAAGTAATTGAAGAGAGAGCAGGCAAGCAGGTGTAGGCGTAACGCAAAACCCTAGCGACGCGGACTCCCGCCATGCCAATTTTGGCATGATTGGGATTGGGGCAGACTGTAGTTTGGTGCTTAACTGAGTTTGACTGCAATAATGACTTGACACACTGCAATGACTGCAATACTTAACTGCAATCCGCCTTCTGCCAGCTAAATATCTGGTGGGTGGTTTCGAAACAATGTCGCATATAACGAGTTAGGGCGACTAAGCAAGTAACAAAGACAGCTTGCCTCCAACATACCGCAAACAGTGATATCCTCGGAAAATGAAGTGATTTGCGACATGAGGGAGATAACCGTTACGTTATAAGAGCATGTCAAAATGAAACACTCTTCTTTCGCAGATTTCCAAAATGCCTCCGAAAAGAACATGTATTGGAAGGGTTGATCCCAACGCAAAGAGGATGAGAGCAGCGCGAGAAAGCGAAACCTCAGAGCAACACGAAGCACGTCTTGAAGCTGAACGTACAAGAATGTCTCAGTCACGAGCTTCAGAAACATTAGAAGAACGCACACAGCGCCTCGCAGACCAGCGTCGAAGAAACTCTCAAATAACGGCAACGGAAACATTGGAGGAGCGCGAGGATCGCCTTAATTCCATGCGATCAAGGATGCGTGACTTGAGAGCTGGTGAAACAATGGAGCAGCGGCAACTTCAACGTGAACAGGATAGGGTCAGGATTGCTGAGAGGCGTGCACTAGAAACACAAGAACAATACAGAGAAAGACTTGAGGCACACAGAGCACTAGCTGCTGAGTACAGGATTTTGGAAACTTCTGCACAAAGTCAGGCAAGACTTGAGGTTCTCCGTCTGAACGTTGCTCAAAGGCGTGCAGCAGAAACATTCGATCAGCACGAATCACGCTTAGAGTCAGATCGTCAACGTCATGCTCAAACACGGCAAGCAAATAGATGGGCTAACTTAAGGTTAGCTGCTCTCAACTATACACCAAGTTGCGACTTTTCAGCACATCCAAAAGTGGTAATTGGTAAGATGAATTTGATTTGTGCGCATTGCCAGGCCAGGAAGTTTGCGACGGAAGCACCAGGGATGTGTTGTTCAAATGGCAAGGTTCGGCTGCCCCATGTAGAATCTCCTCCAGAACCGCTGCTTTCCTACATGGCAGGCACAATGCTGGAATCGAAGCATTTTCTTCAGAATATTAGAAAATACAACGCTTGCTTTCAGATGACGTCATTCGGAACCACCGTAGCAATAGACGAAAATGGTTTCATGCCGACCTTTAAAGTTCAAGGGCAAATCTACCATAGAATCGGGTCGCTGTTGCCCATGCCTAATGACGTCCCTAAATTTCTGCAGCTGTATTTTGTTTCCGACGAGCAGCTACAATCAAGGTACAGATGTGAGAACATCCCTGGCGTAAAAGAGGACATTGTATTGAGCTTACAAAGGATGCTGCATCTACACAACAACTTGGTAAAAGAATTTAACACGGCTTTGGATAGGATGCCAATGGACGATTACAAAGTTGTAATACATGCAGACAAGAGGCGGAGGAACGAGCGCATGAGCATGCATGAGCGCCGTTTCAATTCCCCAAGTGTCAATGAAGTTGCAATAGTAATGGTTGGAAACGAGTTTGATAGGCGAGACATCATAATTCAAAAAAGAAGTGATAACCTGCAACGCATTGCAGAAACGCATAGGTCTTATGATTCTCTGCAGTATCCCCTTATACTTTGGGAAGGACAGGATGGTTATCATTTTAATCTAATGCAAACTGACCCTAACACTGGTAGGACGACTAACAAAAAGATTTCAGCCATGGATTTTTACGCTTATCATCTGATGACAAGAAGTGCATCATCTGACCACATTCTGAAGTGTCGTCAACTCTTCCACCGGTACATCGTTGACATGTACGCCAAAATTGAAGCGGAGCGCCTTCTCTACATCCGACTGAATCAAAGAAAACTGCGAGTTGAGGACTACATTCATCTGCGAGATGCGGTAACTAATGATGGGAATGTGGCTGATCTCGGACAACAGGTGATATTGCCAGCCACTTTTACGGGAAGTCCAAGACATATGCATGAATACGCACAGGATGCAATGTCTTACGTCCGTATGTATGGACGCCCGGATCTTTTTATAACGTTTACATGCAATCCGGCTTGGAAAGAGGTTTCTGAAGAGCTTTTTGTAGGTCAAAGCCTGCCGATAGGCATGATCTGACCGCGAGGATATTTAAGCAGAAACTGACCAAGCTCATGGATGTAATCACAAAAAGTCATGTGTATGGAGAAACTAAATGCCGGATGTACTCTATCGAGTGGCAAAAGAGAGGCCTTCCCCACTCACATATCTTGCTGTGGCTGAAAGATAAAATTCGTCCAAACCAAGTGGATGACATTATATCGGCCGAGCTACCAGATCCACATGAGGACCCGACTTTGTTTGAGATTATTACTAAAAACATGATTCATGGACCATGTGGACCAGTTAATCCTTTATCACCGTGTATGAGAGATGGAAAGTGCACTAAGAAGTACCCCTGGCGAATGATTAGAGAGACGCAAACAGGAAACGACGGCTATCCCTTATACAGGCGACGCAGCCCGCAGGATGGCGGTTTCACGACGAAGCTAAGGCTGAGGATTGAAGACCAAATGAGAGAAATTGACATAGACAACAGATGGATCGTGCCATATACGCCCCTCCTTTCGAAAATGTTCCAGGCACATATAAATGTCGAGTATTGCAGCTCGGTAAAATCGATTAAGTATATCTGCAAATACGTTAACAAAGGTGGCGACATGGCGATGTTTCGTCTTGAACAAGGGAGCGCGTCCAATGACGAAGTCACACAGTATCAAATGGGGCGCTACATTAGTAGCAACGAAGCTGTGTGGCGCATACTCAATTTTAAGATACACGACAGATATCCTCCTGTCGTACATCTTTCTGTCCATCTGGAAAATGGACAGCAAGTCTACTTTACGACTGAGAATGCGAGGGAAAGAGCTGTTCAGCCTCCTAACACCACTTTGACAGCATTTTTTCTGCTGTGTCAAGAAGACGAATTCACCAGAACTTTACTATATCCCGAGGTACCGAAGTATTACACATGGAACAAGACAACAAAGAAGTTCTGCCGAAGAAAACAGGGTAGCTTGGTACCTGGACATGATGTCCGCGCGTCGGATGTCATCGGACGTGTTTATACGGTCCACCCGAGGAACGCTGAGTGTTTTTATCTCAGACTTTTACTGCATGTTATTCGTGGACCTACGTCATTTGCTGCTTTGAGAATCGTTGAAGGAGAGCAATGTGAAACGTATAGGGAAGCTTGCCAAAAACTTGGCCTTCTTCAGAGCGATGAACATTGGGATGCAACGATGTCAGAAGCCTCGCTAAGGTGTTTCGCAGCGCAGCTTCGTAGTCTATTTGCGGTAATTTTAACAACGTGTTCTCCATCTAATCCGCGTACTCTCTGGGAAAAATATAAAGAGGCACTCAGTGAAGATATCCTTCGGGAGAGACGCAGACAAACATCACTCGAATTGGAATTTTCACCTGAGATCTTCAATCAAGCTTTGATTCTAATAGAAGACAACTGCATCTCGATTACTGGCCAAACACTGTCTCAGCTTGGCTTGAACAGCCCCAGTCGCGAAAACGACCATGCACTGGACGACGACGTTTTAAGGGAAAGAAGTTATGACAGAAACGAGCTGGAAAGATTCGTTGAGAACAACATACACCTACTAACTGAGGATCAAAGAGTGGCTTACACTGCAATAATGAACGCCGTCACGGAAGAAACCGGTGGACTCTTCTTTTTAAACGCACCGGGGGGAACGGGAAAGACGTTTTTGATAAATCTGATCCTCGCAGAAGTTCGAAGAGTTGGAGCTATTGCTGTCGCCGTAGCATCCTCAGGTATCGCATCTACACTATTACAAGGTGGTCGGACAGCCCATTCAGCTTTGAAACTTCCCCTAGATTTTACGCAGTCAGACAATCCGATATGTAACATAAGCAAAGACAGCTCGAAGGCGCAGATGTTACGATCATGCAAGCTCATCGTTTGGGATGAGTGCACGATGGCGCACAGAAAAGCTCTCGAAGCACTTAATCGAACTTTGCAAGACTTTAGGGAAAATGATCAGCTCATGGGTGGGCTCACGGTGCTCTTGGCTGGAGACTTTCGCCAAACATTGCCTGTCATTCCAAGGGCTACAGCAGCAGACGAGTTAAGTGCATGTCTCAAATCTTCCGTGCTTTGGAGACACGTGCAGAGGCTGACACTGAGAACGAATATGCGAGTACATCTGTTAGGAGACGTCACCGCAGGAAATTTCGCGCAACAACTTTTAAGACTTGGTGATGGCAGGTTTCCTGTTGATCCTCAAACAGACCTGATAAACTTTCCTGCAGATTTCTGCAATTTGGTGCATTCTACTGATGAGCTCATAGAAAAAGTTTTTCCGGATATCGGAACCAATTACACGAACCTCACGTGGCTCTGTGAGAGAGCTATTTTGGCCCCCAGAAATGACTGTGTAAATTCCGTGAATCTTCGTATACAGAGCAGCTTACCTGGCTCCGCTTTCATCTACAAATCCATCGACGCTATGGTTGACCAGGACGAAACAGTTAATTATCTGTAGAATTTTTGAACTCTCTTGAACCAGCGGGATTTCCTAATCATGAACTGCAGCTCTAATGTGGATCACCCATAATTTTGATGCGCAACATTAATCCACCTAAGCTGTGCAATGGCCCGAGGCTCTGCATTGAGAACTTGATGCCTCATGTCATCGAAGCAAGAATCTTGACTGGAACATTTACGGGAGAAGTCGTGTTTATTCCGCGTATACCGTTGATTTCCACTAACCTGCCCTTCATATTCAAACGACTGCAATTTCCTGTGAAACTTGCATTCGCGATGTCTATAAATAAAGCCCAAGGACAGTCACTAAAGGTAGCGGGTGTAATTTTGGAATATCCTTGCTTCTCTCATGGCCAGCTCTACGTGGCCTGCTCAAGAGTCGGAACTCCTAAGAACTTATACATATACGTACCCGACGGAAAGACCAAGAACATCGTATATCAGAGCGCTTTACGTTGAGTTGCCTAGATCAAATGAAAAGGTAGGTATACCACCAAATCAAACGTGGCTTCTCATCTAAAGCTCAATTTTCAAGAACATGTGTGCAAGAACTAAGAAGAATTCAAAAAGTTTCCACATGTCTGTGTACGAATTTTTAACAAAGTGGTAGGGAACTCAGCAGCTTTAGTGCTGACTCCTTAATAATATATCCTTCATAATCTATTGATCCATTTCTCTTCGCTGTTGAGAATAAAGTTTATATTGCGATCGCACTGATCACTCGCAAAGCGAATAAAGCACTATGTCACAGCGATAAAGATACGCATGCGCTGTCGCGCTCGCACATCTAAAAGTGCTTTTGCTCCTTTGCCGGGCAGTAGCCTTTACTAAGCCTTACAACAGGCAGAAGGACCACAAAAGGTCTTGAATCTGTAGCTTAAAGCAAGGCTATATGTCCACTGAAATAGCCGGGCAAGACCGGGTAGATCAGCTAGTATATATATATATATACCAGTGCATCACCTCTGCTTCGCAGAGGCTCGCACTGGCCCTATTTTCTGTATGCCATACTCATTCCCACATAATAATGACATTGAAACTCACCGCACTATGTAGGCTATCACGATTCGTAAACAACTACTCATTCGTAGAGGTTTTCCATGTGAGATCGGTATTTTCGCGTGGATAAAATCTTTCCCAGAAGAACAGATGCAAATTCCATTAGGTTTTTGGAATTTTTATTGCTTGGTAGTCGCCGTAAGGACAATAAACATAGTGGACTACATCGCTGTGCAAAAATCTTCTCAAATGATCAGGTAGAATCTTAAAAATTTGACCGTTTACACAGCCAGTGCTTTTCGGCGCTGTTTTCGTAAAGTAGTAGACTTTTCATTACTTTTTTAGGCTAACATCTATGGCTTGCACATTAGCTTGTCAAATATATCTTTAACTCTGCAATAAGTAGTACTACGGACCCAAATTTGCTGGCCAGAAGCCAAGTGGATCCGTTTGATGCGCAATTTTCAATGGATCCACTTAACGGATCCGCTCATGCTTTTGTATAGTGAGCTTTCATGCTGGTAGCGTGCCCTATGCAAAATTTGGGCTCAGGACGT